ACCGCTTGCCGTGCGGTAGCAGAGAGAACACTATGACTAGAATGGCTGGAGTCTTTGACAATTTTTAGGGCCTTCCTCTGACACCGCCTGGTATAGAGGTCCTGGATGGCAGGAAGCTTGGCCCCAGTGATGTACTGGGCCGTACGCACTACCCTTTGTAGTGCCTTGTGTCGGAGGCCGAGCAGTTGCCATACCAGGCAGTGATGCAACCAGTCAGGATGCTCTCGATGGTGCAGCTGTAGAACATTTTGAGGATCTGAGGACCCATGACAAATATTTTCAGTCTCCTGAGGGGGAATAGGCTTTCTCTTGTCCTCTTCACGACTGTCTTGGTGTGTTTGGACCATGATAGTTTGTTGGTGATGTGGACACCAAGGAACTTGAAGCTCTCAACCTGTTCCACTACAGCCCCATCGATGAGAATGGGGGCGTGCTCAGTCCTCTTTTTTTCCCTGTAGTCCACAATCATCTCCTTTGTCTTGATCACATTGGAGAGGTTGTTATCCTGGCACCACACAGCCAGGTCTCTGACCTCCTCCCTATAGGCTGTCTCATCATTGTCGGTGATCAGGCCTACCACTGTTGTGTCGTCGGCAAACTTAATGATGGTGTTGGAGTCATGCCTGGCCATGCAGTCATGGGTGAACAGGGAGTACAGGAGGGGACTGAGCACGCACCCCTGAGGGGCCCCCGTGTTGAGGATCAGCATGGCAGATGTGTTGTTACCTACCCTTACCATAATATGCATAATTTGGTTATGAATGTCATTCTCCTCATGATTTACAAGTTCGGACATCACAGCACAGTAGAGTACAGTGCAGTACAATACAGCAGAGCAGAGTTCAGTACAGTACAATATACTGTACTCTGCTTTATTGACTGTACTATCCAAACTTATGAAACATACTTCTATGATAGGTTCAGATTTGGTTCAGTCCAGTGGACGTTAACGTCAAGGCCAGGGTGGACAGACCAAATTTCAACATCCATGGACGTCCGGTGTCGGTTGGTTCTCAGTGGGTGAGGATGCTGGTTACAGTAAATTGAAAGACAGGGGGCTCATGGGTAGGTGTCAGTAAGAGCTGTTAGTGGTGACATTAACTAGAGAGTGAGAGAGGTAGAGGGAGGAGTTGTCCAGACTCAGACTGTTTTAACACTCTTAGTTTGACCACCAGACAATAGAAAGACAAAGAAAACAGCTATGAGCGGAACACAACAGTATGCCAGTGGAAGAGAGGATAGTAGCAGGTGACCCAGCTGTAGTTTGTGACTATTATGATTTTCCATTGTAGCCAATTCAGTTGCAGTAACTCCGTTACTGATGTTTTGGTAATTCTATTACCAATTTGTTTTAATCACTTAATAATTCATAAACAAAACTGATATCAGTAAAATTGCTATAACACATTTTTAGGTCTACCATTACTTGTTACTTCTGTGAACTTTCACTATCCTCCCTCCTCATCAGGGAGAGAAATTATTAAAGATCTTAAAGATGTGTGGGCTTTTGGTAATGGAATTACAAGGCACAAGACAATATTTCTTAAAAACTTACAGAAGGTCAACAATTTCTCCAAAACGTAATATAAGTGTTGATATTAGTTGGCAGGGGTCTATGTCAACATTATTGTGTTTTGATGAATTTCTGATACCTTATAAGACTTATTCCTGGTAGATGTTTTCTAAGACCCCCTTTCCATCTGTTTATCCAGAAATCAAAGCCTTTACTTGTGCCTAATTTTTTTAATGGAAAATGTATTTATTCCTGAAGTTGTTAGTTCGTTATGTCGATGATTTATCACACGCGTGCAGCACACATATAGCCTAGCTTGAGATTAGATGTTCCAAGTTATGATATATACCAGTAAATGCTAAGGCAATAATCAAGAATGGGTATGCAAACCAGCTATAATAAGTTCAGTCTTGGTTGAATTTTGCTTTGCGCAATTCAATCATCATGGAATAGCCTACCTTGACAATCAGACATTTCCTCTAGGATATTTGGTCCTTGAAGTTATGGTAGCCGATTTAGAAGTTCTACTGCTCCAATATAATTATTTATGTGATTTAAATCCTGATACATTTTTGTAAGATGTAGCCGCTTTCACTTGTTTCGGGTGTTGCGCTAGTCTGTTGCTCTCGTTGCGGTAAAACCATGTGCAGTTATTATGAGCAAGACAACATCGAAACTAGGCTTCAACTTGATTTTCCATACAAAGCGTTTTATTAAAAAGGGAACCCAGTTTTTGCTCACTTTCTAAATAGACTGCATGCAACAGTAGATGTTCCCAACAAACACCCTAACGAAATCTGTGGTAGCTAGTCAGTCTTGCCATTTGAAATGTTTGAGAGTTATTGAGGGGTTATTGTATCATGTTTTAAAACTAGTCAGGCAATGCCCACTGTATTCTGACATGTTTTCGAATGTAAAAATAAGGTTAATGTCGATGCATAATGCCATTGGGAAGGCTTAACAAAACATGCATTATTCTCTAAGTGTAAATGCATATTTTTTTCTATAGGCTAATACAACAATTCAATATAAAATGTTGTTCCCTGAAAATTACAATTAAGTGCATGAAAAAGTCCTTGAAAGACCTTGCATCTGTAGGCTACATGCTCAGCCCAAATGAAAGAAAATCACCTGCTATTGAAATTATGCTCGCATCATTTGCTTCCCTGACAGATCTTGACCTGGACCAGTATTTTCTTATATTATTTGGGCCAGTAGCTTTCGGTTGGCACTTGCCCGGTGTGCCATTGGCAACTTTACCTGAATGTCAAGCCCTGGACATCCCCTGTGGTCCCCTGAGACCAAGTATTTTATATTCTATCCAGCTGTTTAAATGTGCTACAATAAAATATGTTTATTGTTAAAATCACCAACAGGAGGGTCATCTGGTTATGAGGAAGTGCAAGATTAAGAATTCCCATGAAAAAGAGGAATGATCAGAGTGGTTGAGGGTAGAAAATAATGCAAAATCTAGTTAGGTTTCTATTCTGTTGTGAAATAGTCAACGGATTGTATTCACTAAAAGGTATTTTTATTCTCACTATCAGAGCTCAATCAGTTGTAAAGGGTGGGTATCAGAGGCAGCAACAGCATACCTGACATTCCTGAGATTTGAACTAACGACCCAGTCTTGTTCATAGGGGAGGGACCAGTTTCTCCTGATCTGATATCATCAGTTTATAACCTAAAATATGAGCTTGGATACAATATGCTGACCAAATACTTACCTGGCCAGCATTATTTGAACACTTGCCGTTTGATGAGTTCAATGCAATACTCCAATAGAAACACAATGAGTTAATGCATTAGCTACAAAGTTGAACCTGTTTTAGTAACTTTGTAGTTACTGGTAGCTAACGTTAGTTGCTACTTGCAAAAATGTTGCTTTGTTTACGCCACGTGTTTCACTTTCCGTGATAGTTAGCTTATTTCAGCCTGCTAAACGAGCTGGCCAACTAGCTAACGTTAGTTACTAAACGGACACATCATTTGAGTGGCAGGTTTCCTCAGTTAACGTTACCTAGCTAGCAAACTTCGCATGCTGGCAGTGGCAGAGCTAACCAGAGTTCTTACCTACAGTCATGAAGATGATGAGATGATGGACTCTTCAACAACAACTTGTGAAATGACAGGCCAAACTCAGTTACTTCCACCTCATTGTAATATAGCTTGCAGGCTAGTCGGTCTACTCACCATGCACGAGCAAGTAGCGGCTAGCTAAACGTTAGTTTAGTTTGTCAACAAGAGGAGAAGCTAGCTAACGTTAACGGTAGCCACTACACTTTGCTAACAAACGAGAAGTTATGCAGCCAACGCCGAAGTAACTCTAACTACACGAATTATAGCTGACCTCAAAACGAAACGTAAACTCGTAGTACCCCTTATGTGGCATTTATTTTCTCATTAGTAAGACACAATCGCAGTGGTTAAAGATATTTCAATCGTTTGACAGCTCTGCTACGCAGTGTTGGCTGGCTCCCCTACGAACCAATTTATGCTTGATCCGAAAATCTGGTCGGAGGCGCCATATGGATGGTGTGACGCAATTGCGGAGCACTCAGAGACAAGCAGAGGCCAAATAGAGCTCTGTGCCGCATCGCTGTGCGCCTCTCAACATTTTTAACAATGTGGAGGGCTCCACATTGACATGATTGGTTGACGGTAGGTGAGGCGGAAGGTCCTGTATAAACAGAAACTCCCTTTCTTGATAACTTCCTTAACAACAGCTCTGCGCTGCTCCGCGAAGCGCAAGAAGTATGAATGGCCATATCATCGTAATGCTGCACGGTCAATGCAGACAGCAGATTGACCATGTATCGCCTTGAACACTCCCACTAAACTGCGATCCCATTTTCACGTCCAGATTGACAGCTGAGGCTTCCATTCAGGGACAAGAATGCGACACACTAATGTTTTTGTTTATTTTTTTACATTTTTACATTTTTAGTCATTTGGCAGACGCTCTTATCCAGAGCGACTTACAGTTAGTGAGTGCATACATTTTCATGCTGCCCCCCCCGTGGGAAACGAACCCACAACCCTGGCGTTGCAAGCGCCATACTCTACCAACTGAGCTACAGGGGGGTGTGTGTAATGTACAATATTTTACTGTGTTAACTCGAATATTGATGGTAGTTTGAATGTATTGAATAATTTCACCAGCTGTGAATACTAATTTGCCTCTACTATGCATGGCCTCTAGTAGTCTACAGTTATTTCACATATCACACTACTACAACACTAATCACATAATGTAGCACCTCTAAATATATTTTGTTCAAACGAAATAAATTATAAAAATGTTATTCCACAGATTGCATAACGTTGTCAAATAATTCCCATGTTATTCGGAGTGAAATATTCGATTCATTTTCTACTGCAGTTTGAAAACTCAAATATGGACATTGTACGCCATCTCATGGAGGAACATGGAACTGGATGTATAATGAAAGGAATGCGAACCAATCAGAAACAATGAACGAACAACCCTCGACTTCCGTAGCGACTAGCGAACCTGCGAAAACGTTGAGGTTCAGCGCATCAGCCAAATGAACCGTATAGCAAAAGGGCTCATTGTTCTATCTGTGATATAATCCGCTACATAATGGCAGACGATGGCATGGACTATAACGTTGTGTTTCCAGATGCATTGATCTCGGGTGAGCACTTTATCTATAGCCTTGCTAGGCTAGCTAACAACACTCATCTAGCTAACGTTAGCTGTCACCCAGAGCCATGATGAGCTATTTAGACAACGACAACGTTAACGTTGGCACTGGCAGGTTCGTCCATAATTCAATGATAGCTGAATTGGACTGACTCAAAGGCTGCTAGCTAGCTAAATTAGTTGTCCTGGTTAGGTAGTTAACTGATTGGTTTTTCTCTCCTTTTAGAAAGACACTGGCATGGAACAAAGGAACCAGTTGTCATACTGCTGGGATGGGCTGGCTGCAGAGACAAACATCTTGCCAAGTACAGCTCCATTTATAACGAACAGGTTGGCGTAAAAACTATTATTGTGGTGGTAAATGTCTCCTGTCATTTCAATAAATGATTGTTCTACTTAATTATTCATGTGTGACTTACCTTTTCCCCTCTTTTTGTTCCAGGGATGTGTCACTATTTGCTATACTGCGCCTTTGAAGACAGTATTCGTCTCTGAATCATTTGGCTACAAGGAGCTGAGTAACACAGCCCACAAACTACTTGAGATACTCTATGATTACGAGGTGGAAAATAGCCCCATATTTTTCCATGTGTTCAGCAATGGGGGATTCATGCTGTACCGCTACATCGTTGAGCACTTGCACAGTCATAAACAGTTCAGTACCTTATGTATAGTTGGGACTGTGGTGGACAGTGCCCCAGGCAGTGGAAATGTGAGGGGGGCATTACGGGCTCTTACAGCTACTCTGGGACCCAAAATCAATGTGATGTTGAGGTGTGTGCTCTTGGCACTGTTTGCTGTAACTGTTTTCCTGCTTAGGGTGGTTCTGTACCCCATAACCAAGTACATCCACAAGAACCACTACGATGCCATCCGGGAGTGCCCTCCTACCTGGCCCCAGCTGTACCTGTACTCCAGAGCTGATCGAGTGATTCGGTACAGTGATGTTGAGCTCATGGTCAAGACTCTAAAGGAGAAAGGGGTGTCTGTGGAATGTTTTGACTTCAAAACCCCTGCCCACGTGAGCCATTTCCGTGACTTTCCAGAGGAGTACTCCAAGCGATGCCTGGATTTCCTGACCAACTGCATGAAGGATTCGACAACGCAAATAAAAAAGCGACACTTGATCCAGCATTGAAAGCACACTACTGTAATATCGCTCAAAAGTCTATGGCACTTATGTTTTTGTGATTATACTGTAATGTTACACATGTATAAATCTGTTCTAGGAAATCTGCAGCTCCACTGAACATCTTATTTCAAATGCTTAAGTTTTAGGAGTTGAAGACAATTAAGCAAAATTAGACTGGTGATAACCAAAGTGCCAGTGCTGTGAATTTTGATTGGTACTATTTGTGAATCTTTAATCCACTGGTTGATATTTCAAAAGAATGTGATTGACTAAGAATGTATGTACTTACTAAACACGTGTTTAACTATTGTGCCTTCTATAAATTAAAAAAGCATTATGTCCTCATTTGCATTTCATTTGGTCTACTTGTTTGAAAATGCGGAACCTTAGATTACTTTGGAAGATTAACTATTAGTTTGCAATGGCCATAACATGAATAAAGTTTCTTGTGAAATTATAGGTTCGAACACATGATTACAATTCAATAACATGTTGTAGTAAAGCAGTGTAGCATTCTTATTTACTGTATACTGAAATAGTAAATATTGCATCACACAAAAGGTAATTATTTAGATATTCTTTCTGATGTGACGATCTGCATGATGCTGCAATTGAGGACCCCTTCCACTCAACCTAGCACTGCAGATTGTGCATGGCTACCTTTGGCCTTGTCTAAACACAGCCTTTGCCTCGCCAGACGTCAGCAATAGTTTGAAGAGCAGTGCTCTAAATTGGTCAGGCATAGATGATTATTGAATGATTCTGACTGTCAAATTACAGAAAGCTCACCCTGGCACTTCATACATCATTTAGATCCACTCAGGAGAAGGGTGAAGTTTACTTATCTGCATAGACAGATGAACAAAGCTTATTGGAGTGCATACTAGATCATTTTTGTTTGTTGGGTGGCTGCATGGCTCACGTTACCAAATGGTTGTTTTGGAAATGTTTTACAGAGATGCAGACACTTCCTGCTGACCTGATTTAAACCTAACTGCCTCCCTGACTTTAAGCGATGAAGAGCAAACATGAATAACTATTTCGATGGTGTGCCCAGTTAATGAAAGTCTGAATAGCAATATTACGTAAGACCGGAAATAATGAATTATTGAGGTGATTTGTGGATAAACTATTGGCCTACTTTGTGACAATACAGACTCATACACACTGGCCCCTAATAGTAAGGATGTGCCAAATATACAAACATGAAAAGGAGTGTGTGTGGTGTGTGTTCTTTATCTTCTTTGTAGATGTTTATTTTCTTTAGCTTGTATGACCTGAATATTTCTGCCTTATCGAGGGCTTTATTCTAATGAAATCTAAAATCTTTGATGAAGTTTTTGGTTCAAATGGTTTTGTCTCTAGCATCAATCAGCTGATGCTAATGTGGTTAAGTTGACACTAAATTCGTTATTTAAACAGAGACAATCGATTGGTTGAAATGGGAAACCGCAGGACTTTTTGAAGCAGAAGAAAGCCAGGAGTCAGCTTGTGTTAGCTAGCAAATTTATGTAACGCTGTTTGGGTCTTTGCGTGTCAAAAAAGACACTCGTCAAATAACACTATTTGGGATTCTGCAATATTTCGAGATTTCGTTTTTCTACTTAGCCAGAGCCAGATGAACTCATGAATACCATTTTTATTTCTCTGCGTGCAGTTTGGAGATGATTGAAGTTAGCATATTGTTAGCTTAGCACAATTGCTGGAAGTCTCCCGGTACAGTAGCCAGCAGATCGCAACGTTGCATCTGTCTCAATGGCGCTGACTGTGCACTTACAGACGCCATAATGAGACAGAAAGAGATATACATCTCTATGCGCCAACGGGACAGAGAATGACGAATTTGATAAAATCTTGTTTCTTATGATTATCAGTCAAATTAATGAATTTATAAAATATAGATGACTATGTATAGCTTTGTAAGACTATAAATGACTAACCACCCAGCTTTGGAGTAGTTAGGTCTATTTCCATGTTTTTGAGAGGAGCTGGCTACTGTGGGAGACTTCCAGCAATTGTGCTAAACTAACAATATGCTAACTTCAATAATCTCCATCAGAAATAAATTGGCTTCGCCAAAGTCCCCAAACAAAGCCAAAAGGAGAAGGAGAGCGATGAGCAGCAGAAGCAGCATCAAACCACCAAGGCCGCCGCCAAGTCCAGCAGCTAGCTCCACGTGTAGAGCCTACCCACCCTTCCACAAGCGCTGCCACGATAATGGATCCACAGCCCCCTCCATCTCTGACTGTTCCTGACTATCTTGGAACAGAGGAGCCAGCCCAGGTTAGCCTAGAATCCTACCCTAGCTGCAGGTTCTGTCCAAAAACATTATATTTGATTTTGATTTTGGCCTTTGCTACTATATCCCATAGAAACGCATTGAATAACACATTCATAAATGGCAAAACAGACAGTCAAAAAATGATTTTGAAGTGTCTATCCTAGCGTGGAACCCCGTATTATCAGCATATTCAACAGCGTTTAAGAAATATATTACCTTCAACAGTGTTATCTTGTGATCAAGCCATCAATGTTATGTGATTATTGGTGTCATATAAATGTTAGCTAACGGGTTAGCAATTAGCATGTTTGACATTTCAGTGGAAATACTACTATTATCAGCTTTTTGATAAGCGGTTTAGCAAATAAATACGTCCCGTATTATCGGCATACGGTCCCCAGTTATTGGCCACCTTACTATTTTGTTCAATTACAAGATATATCCATTTAATTTTGTTCAAAAAAGAGACACCAACCACGTACCAGAAGTGTTTCGGTGGTCAGCTAGCTAGAAGGGTGTCTTTAGTCGCAAAACGTACCGTTATTTTCCAGTCCATTTAAATGTTGAGCTGGAGGTGATTTAGTCCTCCAACCGCTAGAGAGTGTCCGAAGATAGGGGGTGTCCGATGTTGGGGGAAAATTAGCTATATCTAGGAGATATAAGAAAGCTCAGGAAAAATTGTTGTTTTTCTGGACACATATTTAACACCTTTTTTTTGATGGCACAAAACTACCTCCATACTTCCATTCATTTTTATTTTTTATTTTTACCAGTACAGGGTTACCTTCAGAGGAGTCCCATGACACTTGTGGGGGTTGTAGCAAAACGGAGAACATCTTGTTCGTGAGAATCTCATCTGTCATAGAGTGGTCATATTAATTTGTAGGCCAAACCGTTTGGACGCTCACAGATGTTTTCATGAGAAGACCGATTTTCGGGATGTCTAATGGTCTGACAAACACCACTGTAGCTCGGCCACCTTCTACAGCAGATGTGGAAGGCCTACATAGGCGGATGCGGTGGATTGAGAAGCAGCCCATGCAAAAAAAAACATATATCTAGCTTAAACTGACAGATTTTGATGGGGATTTTAATAATATTACTTAGATTGACGTACAGGTGCGTCAATAGACTCTTATTAATAGCAACTGGCTCATAGGAAGATAGTGGCTGGAATACTCAGTTACTGCAGACGTGGCATTTTGTTTCCCATGTAGAAAGTTCTGTGTTGTGTCCAATGCTAACAGACAAGGCCTTCACCCAAGCTGGGTATTCTAACGGGAAGCATGCCATTGATAGAACCAAAGGATTCGCTAGGCACGCATCAAGCAAAGAGCATTTGAAATGCACTGCACTGTAGAAAGAATAACAAGTTCAAAGTGCTATACTGAGGTGTCAACACTTGTTAATGGGGGGAGCTGGCAATAAATGAAATCGCATGTAGGCTATGTGTCGCCGATTGTGGACATTATTGAGATCCTTGTTTCAAACCAGCAACCACTGAGGGGGACATTGGACGTGACAAACATGTTTAGTCGGCACAGAAGAAGCATGCCACACCCGAGGAAAGCTCAACTAATCCAACTGGCATTTGAGGGGAATCTTACAAGAAGATTTCAGCGACAAAGGAATGATTGATTACTCAGGAAGTTCCACAGAACATCAAGGAGGCTCCAACTCTTCTGAAAAGCTGGTTGATTTTTATCAAAATCTTGCTTTAGGGCGCCGACCATGGTGCTGATAGAGCGCAGCTGAGATTTTGCGCCAACTTCTTGGTCAAATACCTTGGTATAAGCAGAATTCAATGTAATTCCAATGCAAGAACCCAACCTGGGTATAGCTACATATCGGTACCTTTCGTCATAGAAGTATACATTCTATTATGGTTTGCATGGTAGCCTATTGGTTTTCGTGGTTGTAAATGGAACACTATGTATTGGAAACATGTTTATGGTAGGCTGGCATTGCTTAATTGATTGCGTGGGTCATATTTGTGTATTGTGCCATATCATAATGTGTTGATGAAGCGGGCCTATAGGCTTATTTATTTGGCAAGACAGCTGTGCATGGCTACATCTCACTGTAGTAGGCTTTGTTTTGGTTATTTGGATCTCCATTCGCCTTTTGTTTACTGCGTTTGTTTACTGTTAATGTAACTAGCCTAAATATAGATTGTGTCATACCTTTATGATCTGATATTTTGTTTAGTAGGCCTACTACTTGGTACCGCTGTTTTGTTCTGTTCGCATTTGCAGTTGTGTCTGTATTCTAAGCCAAACTGCTATTCAGCATTTAGTTTGCATTATTTTGGTAAGACAGCTGTGTGTATGGCTGCATTCACATAGGCTGTTTGTAATAGGTGGATTATAGGCTACCCTAGCTATCTTGTAGCCTATATTCATTACCAAAACAGCCTTGCTTTACTGTGTGCCTTTCCAAATCATGTCCACCAATCAATTGAATTTACCACAGGTGGACTCCAATCAAGTTGTAGAAACATCAAGGATGATCAATGGAAACAGGCTGCACCTGAGCACAATTTCGAGTCTCATAGCAAAGGGTCTGAATACTTATGTAAATAAGATATTTCAGTTATTATTTTCTTATAAGTTTGCAAAAATTTCTAAAAATCTGTTTTCACTTTGTCATTATGGGGTATTGTGTGTAGATTTATGAGGAAAAACATTAATTTAATCCATTTTAGAATAAGGCTGTAATGTAACAAAATGTGGAAAAAGTAAAGGGGTCTGAATACTTTCCGAATACACTTTATACTGACCCAACAGTATTTTACACTGATCCAACAGTTTTCACCTGCAAGTGTAGAGAAACCAATCCCTATTTATATACTGACCCAACAGTGTTTATACTGACCCAACAGTATTTATACTGACCCAACAGTATTTATACTGACCCAACAGTATTTTATACTTATCCAACAGTATTTTACACTGATCCAACAATATTTTACACTGATCCAACAGTATTTTCACTGATCCAATAGTATTTTACACTGATCCAACAGTCTTCACCTGCAAGTGTAGAGAAACCAATCCCTATTTATATACTGACCCAACAGTATTTATACTGATCCAACAGTA